ATGAATGCAGATACCCGATTGAGGCGGCTTCCACCAGACTTCCCGTGCAGGTGTTTCCTGGTTGGCCCGAGACCTGAAAGCAGCCTTTATGATTCGGCCTTCACAGATGTACTAGTCGAACGGATTCGGGTTGCCATAGCGTTAATATCTTGGCCATTTGGCAAGCTAAACAAACTTGATTGCAGCGAAAACGGCCTCAAAATTCTCTGAAGTTGCTGCCAACGACAGTGGAGTGCCGTCTTACCAAGTTTGAGAAAGTATCCAGTTTTAATGCAGAATCGAAGACAATTCAAACCAGCGCTATTTTTGTAATTTTGCGCCATTCCTCGATGGCCAAAGCATGGCGCTGTCATAAGCTCTTCACTATGGTATGCTAAAAAGAGGCTAACCATAAGCTGACTCCAAAAGCGATACTCTTCACGTAACGGGCTTGAGTGACTCCATCCGTTTCTAGAAACCGGGTATCTTGTGTTTGACATATTACATGTCAACGCTTTTACGAGTCTGTCTCTTGCACCAGGTGGTCAGGACCTAGTATTTCTGTTTGCTCTCCCCTCTTCCCACCCAGAAAGACTGTGTTGATTAATTTATTCTCGGAAATTAAAGAGAACCATATGCCGAAGTGATCGCTTGGAATAGCTACAAAGCCGTGCACGATGTAGTACTCGGGTGAAGTGAACCAAGTGCGCGTATGGCAAAAACCAGGCCATGCTAGCCACGCGACACTTTTTCAGGCTTCGATGACTTCACAAAGGCAAGGTAGTCCAAGAAGTCATTCATTGATGTCAATTTCAAAAATCTGGGAGCATTTAGGTATCGGTTTTTCACGCATAGTGGAGAGAGGGGCAAATAGTGTGACACTCAAAATGAATTCGTTAATTGAAAAACAAGTGATTTATTGAGCCAACTGATAGCAGCTGCAATGATTAACAAAGTTCACTCGGAAAAAGTCGCCCTTTGCGTCAGTGCATGCCTTCGAACGCCACGTGACAAAATTGATGTGTGCCCAATTCAGGCCTGTGTCCAGTCGGGTGGACGTAAATGTAAGATGACAATCGCCGAACTGGTATTGTCTGAATGTTGGACTTGCGTTCTATGAATACCTGAGACATACACTACAGTTTTTTTTTTCAGAGACCCTTATTCATAGATTTCACTACGATGTTTTTATCAACAAAAACAAGTAGGGATTTCACAGTTGGATAAACTTTGATGCTTACTTGATCAGCTCTCTTTTAGAAGAATAGGCAATTTTCTGTTTCTCGGAAATTTTTCAGAATGGAGTTGAGCGGTGGCCAACACAACTCTTAACACACACTGCCCAGCATAATAATATGTACTTAGACCTATAAATTTCCCAAGAACTCGCATGTGTTTGAAAAAGCCTTTAGAGAGGAATTGTGATATCAAACACTATTCCGAACATAAACACAAAGTTCCAATTTGGGGAGGCAGCCATTTTTTATTTTCACTTTTTTTTGAAAACCATATTGGTCCCCTGTCAACCGCCGGGACCTTCCTCCTCACGCAGTATGGCCCTCTTCCATTTGCTACAACCATCTCCTTGCGGGGAAAAGCATCGCCACAATTATGGCATGACGGCTGGTTTCCCACCTCCTGTCTCCATCCTCCCTTCCACTTCTCACTGCCCTCCAGCTGCCTCTGCAGCACCATGTGGAATGACCGGAGTGTGCTCAGTAGGTTTATACAGTCGTAGGGGTGTTATAGGTTTTTGCGGGACAGACAGGGCGAGAATTTTCAAAGAAATGGAAATAAAAAATTGTTGTATGCTCCAATTTGAGACTTTGTCTTTATATTCAGAAGGGTGTTTTATGTGATACACTTCCTCTCTAGAGCCTCTTCCGAGAACTTCAGAGGTGAGTTTTTGGGATATTAGATGGAAATATCTATGCTCGTAAGTGTGTTTGAAAATGAAATTGCTTCAGATCAACACCAGACGAACAATGATAGTGTCAGCACTTCAGCATGTCGCCGGTCTTTTAAAATTAAGGGCCGCTTCGGCGTCGGGTTCCTCAAAATAGTCTGGTAAAAAGTGATCTAGAAAGGAACGGGAGGGGTGGGAAGTCAGTTAGGATAAGAAACCATCAGATGAATCATCATGAAAAGGTGGGAGAGGGCGGAGAGGGCCTGGGAGACTCCTCCAGGACTGAGAAGGGAGTGTAAGGGATTGCGCTGTCTTACTGTCAGCCCAACACTATGGCTTACGATTCCCTCGAAGTCACTGCCGCTAGAAAAAGTGTGGGTTCAAGTGAATGGCAATACTGCAACATTCAAGGTTCTCAAAGTAGGTACACAGAAGGCCAGAGGGAGACGGTACCACGTTCAGCAATTCTGCAAAAACTCTACTCTAAAAATTCAGCAAATGCTAATTTCGAATACAGTACACCCGTTTTCATTTGAAGACTAACCCCATTCGAATGGTGCCGTTCCGCTCTTGCTGTGCTAGACTGAGTAAGTTTGCTTTTTTTCCGAATTTTCAGTTGGCTTTCTCAACATCCCGTTCGAGACGCTGGGTAGAAGAGAGGGTAGGCGGTTTTGGTCGCAGTCATGTTCGATTCTTTTCGGGAAGACAAGATAAGCGAGACACTGAACCAACAATAAATTTTCGAACTGTTGATATGGCTGGCACAAAATACGCTAGATCAAGAGTGCTAGTATACCATTTTCAACAAGAACCTGTGATATTATTACGAAAAGATTGTTGAGAGGATGGAACGCCTTAATCTTCAGAAAAACGTGCACTTTGAAAGTATAAAAGGATGTGTCTTGCTGTTCGTTTCCACCCAGTCCACCGATAACACGGCTCCTCAAGTTGTTTCGAGAGCTCCGGCCATATGAAAATTTCAGCAATGTTTTATACAGCTGATTTTACGACTGATTCCGCCGACTGCCACTTTGAAAACATTTTCAGAATCTCGAGATGGTTCACCCTTTGAACCGCTGCTCGTCGAATTCCTCAAGCGTCCAGTAGCAGTAGCTCTATTCATCTCGGTAAGCCTTAAATGACACGGAAGATTCTCCTCGAACACGGCCCACATCGCATTTCATGTGTGAAGAGAAGTTCCAATGACCAACCAACCGTCTTTCGCCTCAGCCTCTTGAGTGTCGTGAAGGATCCACACATGATTGCTTTATGCTCCAATCAGGGCCCCGTCCGTTAGACCAAGTCTAACGGGGGGTCGTATCTGGCCGACGGAAGAAGGGGGATTCGCGGAGGTCAACGTTGCATTGCGTGGAAATGTAACACAGGTGCGAATAAAGCTCTGAGCTCTGGTTCACAGCATTAATTACAATGCTGACATTCATTCGACCTGCTGCACCCATTCTGAGCGGTCACGGTGGCCAATCCTCTGATATCAATTTCTTCCAGTCGTGTGAAGTTGAGTATTCCTACTTTATTCTGTTCGCATCCTACTTCTGACTACTACCCCTTGTTATTCTACTCACTGATTCACTACTGAAATTCTGTGTGTTCAGCTACAAATCCACAGACGAACTCTTGGGTGTTCTGATCTGTGCTCCCTTCCGCCAGCTGACCTATCGAGATCTCTTATGGCGGAGATCGTACTTTCAAGACTCAAGTCACCCGTATAGGTGTATTACCACGTGTTGATTTCTTCTTGCTGTTTCGGAGTAATTTTGTTTGGTCGAATCCTGGTGGTGGTCGACTCTTGACGTTTCGTACTTGTCTTCATTGATCACCTAGATTGACCACCAATAATCACCAATGGAAACTCCACTCGATCTGTGTGTGTGTGTTCCAACATTCAAGAGGAAGCATAATGAGCTGTGCTCGCCAGATAAGGATGACCAACTTTCTAAGCTCATCGACTCGGACAAGAATCTGCCGGATTATGTCAAAATCATTTTGTCAGTGCTAAAGGATACGAGGGATCAATTGTTGGCAATCAAGCAATGGTGTATCAAGTTATCGGATGAAAATGACCAACTGAGGTCTGAAAACTGCAAGATTAAGAAACTTTCGAAATGATAGAGTCTCATTCTGATACTATCAAGAACTCACAGTCTTAAGCTCATCTGACTTGGTCTGTGCTAAACGTGAATTGGAAAAAATTCGTTCAGTCGTAATTTCTGGGGTTCCTGAGTTTTCCTCATTCTCTTCCGTAAGAAGAGCGCATCATGACTGTCACGCTGTGAATACCATTCTTAACTGTCTTGATGTTGAGTGCATTCCCATAAATCGTTTTTGAATTCCTTATTCAACTCGCACGCGTCTATAAAGATATTACATTATTACCTACAACTAACTTTCTGTCAAACTGTCTTGAAACGCGCTCGTTTGCGCTCTCTCGTCCACAGTTGGGCCTTCATCTGCCCCTCCCGAAGCGCGTTCAGCTGGTCAAAGTAAGACAGGTAAGCCTTGGCTCTGCCTCTTGATAGTGTTGTCTTTCGGAATAACTCCCCTACTTCGGTGTCTAGTACTAGTGTTTCGAAAAACGTTTAGGTTCTCTTTTCAGTGCTTGATCTTCAATCTTGGGATTGGTGTTCTTTAAAGGAGGAATTCACGATTAGAATGAAGGTCGAAGAAAGGGAAACTGACCTAGTTGAGGGACCCACGGACCTCCTGAGGGTGCGAACTGACGCGCAATTCGCATGGAAAAATTTGACCTCGGCGACCTATCATGCCTCAAAGCTGGCGGGTCCGGCGATCTCCGCCCACCGATCATCTGATCACTCGCCGTAGTTCAATACGTGGCGAGTGATTAGATAGCTGAGAGAGCGTAGTGTTGAAGAGGGCACAGCGATGAGAGTCGCATCAATGCTCGAATCAACGGGCAAGGAAGGGGTACCATTTCTCGGGTTCTGGGCCGTTTCTCATGGTTCTTCCTTCTTTCGTGTACCACTCACCATCCCTAGGTTAATTTGAAATGGGTTGCTTTTTCATCGTGAATTCGTCCTTTAAGTTTGGTCTCCCTCTGGAATGTTTTTGCTCTAATTTCCGTTCTTTACCAAAAAACGCTGACAAGCTTTACGTCATATCTTTGTAAGAAAATTATGACTTGGCTCTGAAATCTTGACTGAAACGGGGTTTAATTCCAAGCCTGGAGTAGCAGCGCTATTGGGTATGGCAACCTTCCAATATCAATGTTATCGATCGGATAGGAAGATCAAGAGGGGGTGGTCTTGCCATACTAGTTAGGTGTCAACATTCCATAAATTTACTTTTCAGTGAATCTGTCAAAAATTCTTATGAAATTTTGGCTTGTTTCGTTTCGTTTTACCGTGATGAAAAAGGGTTGTATATCGAGCACCTTGCTGCTCTTTATGTGCAGTGATCAGCTTTTTAAGGCACTCATCGAATGTGATCTAAGCTCTCTCCGAAACACTAGAGTTTTTGCTGGTGATTTCAATTTGCCTAATATTGTGTGGTCTCCTGAAACAGAGAGCAATGATGTCATCGAGACTAAATTTATTGATTATTTGCCAGCCATGGTTTTACTCAACTTGTTCCTTTCTTACCCGTATTGATTTTTATCTTAAGCCTTCCCCTGACACCCATGGAATGTCAGGCCCAATTTGCTCCCTGTGGCCGCCTGACACCCATGGGGTGTCAGGGCTGATTTTTCCAAGGATTCGGTTTTTCGACAAAATGTTTTATGTTGTTACATATCTATGTAACATACTCATGTCGTACGTATGAAAAAACCTAGACTTAGATCTCAAACTAGTTCCTAAAATAACCAAAAATTAAATGGATTTCCACTTCGAGCTAAGGGAAAACAGTTATAAATCATTTGAAAACACTTCATACAACAGAATTTATGCCATCACGTGCACGTCGTATCTGATGCTATTGCATCCAAACGTTTCGGACATTTCTGGTCCCTTTTTCCCCATTACAACTTATTTTGAACAATTTTCATTCCTGCTTT